TAGACGTTGAACGAGGTAGTTCATTCTTTTAAACGTCCGCCACATCACCTGCTACACAACGAATACGCGCGTTTATCGTCAAGAGACAACATCAACGACACAATTACAAGGCACTGGCCAACGGGCAGTTTAGTTCTGCAACAGTCATTGCTTCAAATTTTATTACAGTGAAATATTACAGATGATCCACCAAGCACCGAAATTGTCATTGGGGAATACGGTAAATGAGTAATCTCGAATTCATACCATTGATGAGTCAGTAATTAACCGGCGGCATGAACGCCATGGGTCTTTCGTTTCGTCTGAGTTCGACCCAATCTTCGTCGGACACTAAAGGCAAAAAAATCATTTCAGCATTCTACAACCCTACTTATAAGTCAGCGCTAAAAGTGAATGAACAAAAAGCATTTCTCCAACTTATGAAGATGATCAAGCTATATCACTGGAGAAGACGCTATCGATGTCACCAACAGATGTTATGTGATTCTTCAAAAAATGATCTGAAGTTGCTACCATCGAAACAGTAAATTAGTAGCAGGTTATGAAAACGCATGAACGAATAGATACTAAATGCATTAATGAATGAAAGAATGAACGAGCGAATGAATCAGTGAATCAGAAAATGAATGGGTAAAATTAATTAACAAATGAAAGAATAAATTTAATTTATTATTTTCACCCTAAGCTGATGGCGTATATACGCACAAGGTAGGTCAACGAGCACTGAGAGTATTGAACGATAACGCATCATACAGAACAGCCTTTTTCGCAAGCCTGTGATTAGCATCCTCAATGTCCTACTAAACTTCGCAAGTAATAATTGACTTCCCATTCATCTTTTAGTAGGCTGTACTGAAAGGGATTAAGTGAAAGGTCTGTTTAAGAAACCTAGCTATACGTCGCTGGGGCAACTGTATTTCTTGAAGAGTTACTGCTTGGTAAAATACGAAAACATTCATAGCCGCGGTGAATCTGAGAATCGAAGGATGCATATGACAGACATTCACAGTCTCAGAGTCACTCGATCACTATGCCACTCGGCCATTCGATCAGTAATTCAGCAACTCACTCTGTGAGTCAGTCACGATTTCTCCGTCTGCCTGATGTCTGTTTACTCACCTGTCAGTGGGTCGAATGTTACAGTCAGCAACTCACTCATTCACCCACTCAGTCAATAAGATAACCATTCACTCGCTCAGCATCAACTCAAACAGCAAGTCAGTCAGCCATTGTGTCTCTATAACCCCTTCACTCACTCGCATATGCACTCATTTCGCCCGGGATACATTCCTCATTTAATGAAAGTGAAACCTGTAAATAAATGCAAATCAATTAGTATAAACAACCCTAGTAGGACTATGGTATGTTTCGCCATAAACGACTGCAATTTTATTACATCATGTCTTACTTCGCTTTTTGCCAACATCCCAAGGACGGAGGTGTTGAGACCGTTTCTTTTCAAGTTCTGTTTCCTCTTTCCGTCTTTTCAAGTTCGTTTCTTCCGGAAGTGGAATGGAAGAAGCGTCAGCATCT